TTTTGTTGCCGAAACGCGTGAAAATCTCCCTTCGCTGAGATACTTTCGTCGAGATAACAGCATTCGCGGTTTTTATTTTTTTTTGACGAAATCTCGCTTGTAAAATTCTCGGATTTTTATTCTTGAAGAACAATCGTTTCAAACAGAATTTTAATTTTCACTAATTCTGTTATTATAATTTTATCAACTCAACTCCCTATTGTTATTGCTAATTGACACGTTTAATCGATTACTCAATGCAGATTTTTAATAGGACAATATATTTGTTCTTTGGGAGAGAGATGGGGGCGGAGGAAAGGGGCAGGGGAGGACGCGCGAGATTTTTGAAATTATAAAAAAAATTCTATTGTGATACATCAGATACGAGCTATTAGAGGCGAGTATTCCTCAGGCGCTTGTGATGGATATGTTAGAAAATTCTCAGCATTATAATTTTTCCGTTTCGCCGTAGAATGACACGGGGAACACGATCATGGGAGATATTCACGGCCGGACAAATCTGTCCTACGAATTGTTAGCACATGTCCGCGTTTATGCCGACAAAGCGGACGAAACTTCCCGCTGAGTCGTTAAAGCCAATGACGAATCTCTCATTCTATCCTATGTATCCGCGTTTCAATTTTCCTCCGACAAATGTTGAAAACGCGTCCGGAGACTATCCATCGCGCAATAATAATTGGAGAGTGTCTTGTAAACGTTGCAACATATTGCTACGTTCGCAAAATGTCATCTTGAAAAATATGATATTAAATAAATTATTATAAATTAAATTATCAAATTAAGCTAAATTTAATTTAATTTTACTTAAAAAATTTTTATTACATTTTACTAACAAAATGGACTTACAATGTTTCCAATTTTACGGATCACTCAATCGCTTTCTTCCTTATCAAAAATGTCTTGCTGATAGTGACTTCTTTTTTTTCTTAATAAAAAGCCATTCCGACGAAAAATCCGCTGCGACGCCAATGAACAAGTTGGTGCATCATTGTCGTAGGCGAGATTCCGCGACAGATCCTAATCTATCGTGTAAGCCAACGAGTCCTATTGTATAGTATGCCTGGTTCGTGCCCGTCTTCTGAAAACCCACCTTAATGGTCCCCGGTAGCAAAATAGCCATTATGATCATCGTGAAATCGCGCCGCCTTGATTCCTTTTCATCGTTCCTTTAGCGAACTGTCCTGTTTCCCATTGGGTTATTGTTGACTATTACAAGTTTCTCGACTGCACTACCTGGATTAACGCGTTGCTAGATATGATATTGGAGAAGTAACATATTAATTTTAGCTCACGCAACATCCTCATGCATCAAGATTGATCGATATTTAGATAAATGATGATCAATCATTTTTCAATAGAAGTTAATGTATTTTTCTTCTATGATATCATTTTAATTTAATTATGAATCTTAATTTCAAATTTACTGATTTAAATCAAATCAAATAACGAGAATAGAATTTTCAGATTATTAAAGATTACATGAATTTGAAATAAATATAAATTTCTACTTCTCCGAGTGTATAACTAAAATTAGGTAGGATTAGCGATATTAGATCAGATGATAATTCAAATAAAACGATAATAAAATAAACTGTCTGCAAAATATTTCTCTGATAAATAATTCTTGAACTCTCTGCAAAAATGTCAAACACATATTAATTTTAGCTTATGTGACGTTTTATATATTAAATTTATTATTATTTAGCTAAATAAGATTAAATTATTTTTTGATAAATATTAACTTTTAAGATACCATTAATTTAATTAAGAAACTTAATTTCAAATTTATTAATTTAAATAAGATTTATAAAGTTTTATATCACAGATTCGCCATTTTTATAGAAGTTTATATCCTATTATCAAATAACTAATGCAGGATTATCATTAAGGATTATAATATGGATTCAAAATAAATATATTAAATATATATTAATATATTTGATAACTTTTTTAAATATATATATTGATATATTACTAAATATATATTAAATATTAATATATATGAAATATATATTTTCACTTTTTCGAGTATATAACGAAAATTAAGATTAAAGAAAAAGACGAGATAACAAAATAAATTTTAAAATAAACTTACTGCGGAAGATTTCACAAAAAAGGTATGAAACACAATATTTGAAATGTGTTGAATTCGAAAAATGAAGATCTTCACACAGAAAAGATTAAATCAAAAATGAAATGAAAGGCTTATGAAAGAATAGGAAGATGAAGATCAAAATATGAATCGGGAGAAAGCTTGTGAATGAAAGGGAAGAGCCTGAAAAGTGTCGAAGCGTAACAAATTCTTGCGGTTTATCCGGTATCTTTGGAGAAGACTGAAATCAGGATTATCCCTGGACTGCGGAATCTTAAAGCTTTCAACGAGAACTGGGATTATTTACCTGTGGAACCTACGCGTATCCACCTGCGAGATTCATTGATTTTTATGGGCACACACCTAGTTACATTTACGACCAGCAGGTGGTGTGAGCCTACAGACCAATTGTAAATATATCAAAGTTGGATGTAACTTTTGAAAAAATGTGAGAGCAAATTTCAGAATCACCTTGATCTTATCAAATAATAATAATATCATTATTTCGGTAATTATTTACTTATACAGACCACCTCCCGATTTCAATAATTCTCACATATGTTATCAAGATCATCATTCTGAGTAATGTTGTGAAGGTTTTAGTCGGCGGTCATTGTTTATTAAAAAATTTATAAACAAAAAATGTCTAATGAATATGTAATTTTATGACACCATATGTAGACTATGTGGTTTGACATTATTTATCTTTCTTATATTGAAATTAGGTAGTAGAATAATGATAGGCTTCTATGTTTTTGATATTTCTTATAATTTTGAAAATATTTAAGAAAAGGTGAATTAGTACAAGACAGATTGCTATACGCATGCATAGTGCCCTGAGGTCAACGCTAAATTTAAAATTGATTGGTCCACGTGGAAAAAAATCCCAAAATTGCACTCAATGAAAAGGGATGAAAATCCACTCCGTGGACTCACTCCGTGGACTCACTCTCACACTTTCAGTTTTTTAGACAGTGAATGTAACTTCGCAAGTTTAACCGTTTTATTTCCATCGCTTGCATCTTGCATAAACCACTTGATAAAACCGTTTAATTCTCTTTAACATTTTCTATATTTTGTAACTCTAATAAACTTATTTTTACACAACGTTACGTGTGACTAACAATAAGACTTTATTCGCGTACACGTTTTATCAATTCTGTGCTGTCGAGAGATAGCGATATATCGCTATCTCTCGCGAACACATATAATAGATTAATCTATAATTTTAAATCATTAAATTAATAACAATATAATTGTAAGGTTTTAATTATTTTTATTTAATTTATAATATATAAATATGTAATATATAAGTTTGATTATTAGTAAACAATTCACAAAAAATCGTGATTTGTAATATTGATCGTAAATATTATATAAGATTCAAGAGATTTTATTTATAATTTTATATAATATATTCTCTCTAATATATAGTATTGTATATATATATACATAAAAAATATTTAAAAAATGTAATACTATTATATATACATATATATATATATATATATATATATATATATATATATGTATATATAATAGTATTACATTTTTTAAATATTTTTTACATTTAAAATTATAAATATAATTTTATTTCGAATTTTATTGGAATACAAATTATTTAAAATAGATATAAGTTTATATAATTACTCAATTATTTTAATGTTATAATGTTATAATAATAATTCTATCATTTATGCAATGTAATACCATTTTACTATTTAAAATTGCGAGTGATATTAATATTATGATTATGGATACTCTTCATTTTCATTTCGATTCCTCCCGTTTGATATCCCTATCCTGTTCGATAACAAGAATTCCAAATTATTTTGTTTGCTAAATACAATGGTCTACGGTGGAAATATTTTCGTAAATGGCAGGGGACAACAAGGTCCGCGATGGAAGTGCAAAATGTGTTTACCGCGTGAGACGAGGGTAACTGAGGAGAGTGTCCCGAATAGCTTCCCGTTGGCAAGCGGGGTGTTCGAGAACGACGCCGACGCATCAGGGGTGGGACGCATGGTCGGTCAAGCGTCGCGGAGCGTCGAGACAATTGAAAAAAATCACTTGTCTCGCCTTGAAAGCAGGAATCTCCTTCGTGGATGCTGGAGCGAGAAGTCGCTCCGGAGCAGATGATGACAGAGGAGAGAGTCCGTTAAATGTTCCGAAACGGCCTCATTGGCCGCCCGATATATACGATCTTACGTGTCACTTTGGACACGCGTCTTTTTGGAAAATATAATTTGACGATTGCACGCAACTCTAGATATTGTGCCTAGAATTGTGCTAGACTAAAAAACCAAGTCATGCAATTTTTGCTTTAACGCAAATATGTAGGAAGTAAAATCCGAATTTACCCCTCTCTTGTATTTCGAATTGTATACAACTTTTTATATTGCCATAAAATAAATTTTGAAATATTGCCATTTTGTGAATTTTGTGATTTTATATGTTTGTACCAATAGGCAGAAATTTGCGATACCATATTCGATCACGATGTAAGATGTAATAAATACATAATAATTAAAATTGTACAATTATTATCAATTATAGAATAATTAAAATTATACAAATATTATTAATTATATAAAAATGAAAATTATTTAATAATAACACATTATTTATTATTGAATTTATATATTAAATTTATTTTTGTATTATTTAATTTATTTTTCTTAATTTATTTTTATTATTTAATTCATTATTGAATTTATTTGTTTATTATTGAATTGATTCAATTTATATATATATATATATATATATATATATATATATATATATATAGAAAAGGCAAAATTTTTGATGAAACATACATTTTATAGTTATCATAAATATCATTTGAAATTCTGTATTGTATCTTGTAGTATTATTGTAATTTATACGATTTACACTACGTCTCTTGCAGATTTGCATAGCAGGCAGCGGAGTAAGAGGCTGGCTGGACGCATCTCACGAGACGAATAATTGGCTGAAGTACATTCGAAGTACTGCTAGTCCACATGCGGTAAACATGCGTTATGTGCTCAACGGCGGTCAGGTAACAAATATTCAATAACAAAAATTAATAAAACAATAAAATTAATAAAGATAAATAAAAAAAATTGCTCACATCTTTGTGTGTAAATGACGTGTATAAGTGATTATTTTGTGATAAAATTATATTTTAAAATTATATTTATTTGACGCTGAGTGTACTTGCAATTATACTAATTGCTTATTAAATGATTTTATTTTATATTATTAAAATATGATATATTATAAAAATTCTCATTTCTCTTAAATTTATTGACAATTTTCGATATCATTGTCAATGTAACGAGAAAATCAAATTATTGCTTACATTATGAACCAAACGATCCTTCTTTTTCGACATTTGGCGATTATTCTCCAATTCACGCATCCTCTATTTAGCGATTATTTATACACAACTGGCACTCGATCGACAGTTGCAGTTAATAGGAAACGATAATTACTCGGCGTCAAATAGAGTTCCAATTTATTCCGCATATGTTATCGATTGTTGAAAAGTACCTCATAAAGCTCTTATGTTATTTCCTGCATATTTGAGTGTTTATTATAAGTGACTATATACTTATTCGTAATATTTACGCGTAAACCTTGTTGAAGCATCATAATATCGATAAAAGAATGCGATACGCTTATTTTGTTCGATAGAAAAAAGGGAATAAATTTTTTACTCATTTTTTATTATTTTATTTTTTCATATATTTTTAAAAAATATTATTTTTCTATTAAAGTAAAATAAAAATCGAATTTTTAAAAAAATACGGTCTAAAAAGTATCTCAAATGAAATATCACAGAATCTGCTGTTAGCGAGATCAATTTTAAGGGAGTTGCGCAAGTTTTAAATGGACATTTCAATCTCAAGAGGCATTACAAAACAGATTTTTGGTCAAATCACCCTCGAAGGGACTATCCTCACATATGATTGGCCGTCGAATAGACGTTATAAGCGGAAACGATGGAGGTCACGGTGTCAATTTAGGGTCGAGTTCGTGCTCCTGTCCATTCGGCACTCTCTTTTTCTCTCTCTCTCTTTCTCTCTCTCTCTCTCTCTCTGTCTTTCTTTCTCTTTCTAATTTTCCCTTGTGTGAACCATGGCACATGGTATCCGCGATGTTGTGGGCGCGCCGTAAGCTACATGTATACAGGGTGTTTAGTTATTAAGTCACCCCACGGGGTCGTTTCACTGACTTCCTATACGCTCTCTCGCAATCGCTGTGGGAATGGGGGAGAACCGTTCTTTCTCTCTCTTTCTCTATCAATGCAGAATCGCCGTCGTAATAATGCTTCGGAGCCCCGTGACGACACTATAAAGATCGTTTCACGGCTTCCCAATGTTATAGCAGAGCTTGATGATTTTTTTATTATTAACATTGATCTCATGGAGATTTAATGACAAAGATATTTATTTGTTATTTTGCAAAAGTATATTTAATAATAATTATACATTGCACGCATAATTAATAAACACAAATATTATTTTTATTACATTATTTTTATTACATTTTTATAACATTATACATAAATTAATCTTAAAGATATAATCTTAAAGATAATAAAGCAATCTTGAAGAATTAATTTTTACGATATGAAACACAATGTAAAGAAAAAGAGCTTTAAAAATGAGATTGGAACATAGCTTTGTGTAAAAGAATAAAGAATTATTAAGTATTAGCATTTATTAAATATCAATCTCGACGATCATAGATGGTGTATGAAGCCATTCGCGATATCATAACGGGTGAAGAACTTCTTCTGGGTCTTCGAGAGCCGCTTCAGCTGCAGGACATGCTAGGTGAAAATACAACTGAAGACAGAAGCGATCGAGAGACTGGTGAGTGTCTTTAAAAAAACTTGACTACTCGAAAGAGATAGTAATACTTTCATTTTTACGAATAAGATGTACATAAACATTCTTATTTATTTATTTATTCATCCATATTCACCTAATTGATAGTAAAAAATACTTCAAATTTTCATACTATGATATCGCACGATACATACATAATTACAATTCTTTTGCATAAAGCAAAGACACTATAAATTAAATTTTAATAAATCTAAAATATTTTTATTTTATATAAATGAATTGATCAGGTATTCTTAAAAAAACTATATAAAAAATAAACAATGTAATATATTTATTATCAATTAGATATTCTTAAAAAGATAAAAAAATAAAAATATATAATATATTAAAATAATATAAAAAATAATTAAATAGTGAAAAGAATATAATAATAATATATTTATCATTAAAGAATAAAATCTGAAAAAAAGACGCAATAAAAAACGCGAGCCAAAATAATATTTAGAGATGGTGGACAAGAGATATTATTGTTTGCGATTATTTTCGGCACAACTTTATGACTTTCTGCCCTGCGATACGCATCGCGTTGGCGGCTCGTGCGCGTACGATTACATGTACGAACGCAAATGAAGGTGTAAGGGGGAAGGGGGACAGGTGTTTTCCGAAACGACGAATCGGGGGCGGGCAGAGGGTAAATCGTGAATCGTTGTGTGCACGAGCTGCTCGTCATGCACCCTTGACTTTGGCGTGATTCACCTGGTCGACCGTTGTCGTATTAACCCCTGTCCGGTAATAAGCGCTGATTATCTGCAGATAGACGTGTTCGAGTCACATGTCGCCATGCTCGTCCCTCGGCATCGACTCTTGTCCGGAACCATCTCTTCTTATTCATCGATATATATGTACATGCAAAAGGCTATACAATCTAGTCATAGTTTTTTCTGTTTCTTTGTATTTTAAAATATTGTTATTTTTTATTGTTTTTACTTATGAAATGTAACTTTATAAAGTATTTTAAAATACTGGTCCTTTGGATGCTTTCCTTAAACTTTATAAATTATAAAATTGCATTATATAAACAAATGTATATGTATCGAGGAGGTTGATTAAATCATATCAACTTTTTAAAGAAGATATTTAAAATATCATATTTTTAAAATAACATCATTATAAAAAGTTGAATATTTTTTTTCTTATTCTTTCGAAAATTTATCAATATCTAATATTTAAAAATAGAAATTATAAATTTTTATAATTGGTATAATTGGATTTAGGCAATAGATTTCCTAAATTGTATTGTTTATTCTTTTTTAATGTTGTAAAAAAAATGAAATTTTATTATTATTATATCCATACGAATTTAACAATGTAATGATGCGGTTTAGGAGTCCCAATATAAACTTTTTAGACTATTATAAATTATAAATATATTAGAGAAAAAAACACCAACCTACATAATTTATCTCTTATTCTTAAGTATTTAAAAATTGACAAAAATTTCCAAAAAAATGAGAGAGAAAAATATCTATCTTTATGATGATATACACACTCAAAAAATATATTAATCATATTTTGTTGCTAATTAAATTTTTAATGTTTTACTTTTGAAATAAATCTGAAATCGATCGTAAGAAATGTTCATTTTTCAAAAATATATAATGTTATCACACAATGGGACTTTTGAAAAATTAAAATGCCCATTTTAGTCCGCCCATTTAATTTAGCCAATCAATCGTGGATTTCATTATGTGGACCATTGTGCCATTAATATATCGGGGACGTTTGCGAAGAAGGGTAGCGTCTACGTGCCTGACTGCTCGACAATTATCTGGTTGTAACTTCTGCGCGATGGTCAGAATCAGGATGACGACTTGGTAGAGGCGGAGGGTTATACGCGACATCCAGATGTCGCGGTAATTAAAACCAGGCTTATTGTCGAAGTTCTGCCGAGCTCGCTAAGTCTACGGCTAATTCGCCAACAGTTTTTCGCCATAATTTCGGGACCTCGTTAAGACCTTTTCGCGTCTCTCCTGGATGATACTAATATATTTAATATTAAATTTGACGAAATCATTTATATAACGCACGTCATATTACTTTATGAGAAATGTTCCTAATTTAGAGATTCCTAGAAATCTTTTGTGATGAATAGATTTATAGTTTATCATCAAAAACCAATGTAAAATAGATCATTATTAAAACTTTGTATATACTTTTATATTTAATGAAATAATTTATATTTTTATTACAAGAAACAATATGATAAAGACGAGATAGCACCTTTTCCACAAATAACGAGATTATTTTGGGAAAAATGTGCTCCCAATTCAAACTAGAAACATGATTGAAAAGAAGGGTTACAAAAGAAGGGAGGTACAATTTTACGGAATGGCTTTAGTAGTTGCAAGAAAAGTTACTGCGGCAATTAAGTTGAGCCTACCAATAATGTTAATTGCTCTGAATTAATTTCGAGATTAAGAATCTCATTTGCGATAATAGGCGGATGAGGGTTATGACGTAAGAAAGAATGTTGCATCCACGTGATTCTCTCTCCCTTTTATATCAATAATATAAATCGTAGGCGTTGCGTTATTTTCTTGCGTTTCATTATTTTCTTATATTATTTACTTATATTACTTATTTACATTATTTACTTACTTTATTTACTTACATTGTTTACTTATATTATTTTCGTTATTTACTTACATTATTTTAATTTTATCTTCTTTTTTTAACTAATTTTCACATATATACAAGAAGAAAAAGGCATTAATTAGAGCTATTTTTACATATATATAATTAATACACTTTTATTGTCGATCCACAGTAGGTTTTATTTTTTTTTACATATACTTTCACACATTAAGAGATTAATACCCTTGTAAACGGTACAGGAATTACTGTTAATCCTGTAAAGCCATTTTTACGGGGAAATCTCTGACAAGCTGGTGCGTGCAACGGGAATAATGATGTCAAATAAACGGTGTACGCTCTGTTCCAACCCTTACGAGGGGTATCTGCGATCCCTCGTACAGATCATTTTTTTCTTTTGCAAAGATATATATATATATATATATATATATATATATATATATAGATAGATAGATAATGGAAGTACAAAAAATAAATGAAAAGGAATGATAAACATTAAAATTATTATAATTAAGAGATTAAAAATTATTTTTAATATATCAATATAAAATACGCATATGCATTCAACTTAGAATTAAATATTGAATTTATTTTATATATGTCTTATATATTTATCTAATATATTTATATTTCACTCGTACATGAAATATTCAATTTACTTTCAATAACAGTTTTTTATACAATTAACGTTTCAATATATTTTAATAAATTTTAATAAACATAAAATTTTGATTTCTCTTTCTCTCTTTCTCTTCAAATTTGACGAAAGAAGAAGAAAATTTAATATTATAGATAGATTTATTTATTTATTTCTTGCCTTTCGGGATTGAAAGGGATTTTACATGAAATGTACATTACAAGCTTTATAATAATATTTTATATAAAAATATGCTTAATTTATATTGTGTATAATGTTGTTTCTTCTCCTAAATAATTTCAATTACTTCTAGAGTGTCTTTTTAATTTCTTTGGCTTTATTCTCTTTTCTTAACTTTTTTTTCATCCAACTGATTCCTTTTCTCCTTTTTCCTGAAATTGGATTCATTCTTTTAATATTCCTTGTGTCTTTTGTACAATTTGTTGCTAAATGCTCTAATATTTCTACTTCTTTTTTACATTCCCTATACAATTTCTTCTTCTGTTCACATTAAAATTTATTTCGAAGTTCTTCGTTTCCATGTCTAAATTTCGCTATGATCTTTGAACATCTTTCTGCCCTTGTTTTCTGAAATATATCTGGTATTTCTATCATGTATAACGCTTTATATCTTATATCTATATCTTACATCTAGACTTCTGAATTTTATTCTGTTGAGTTCCTGTTTTTGTTTCTCTACATCTCTTTTGTTTAGCCTCTATACCACTTCAAAACCTTCCTCTCTTAATTTTTCAATTTCTATCCCAGACATTCCATTTCTTTGAAAATACATTTCTCTGTCTGTTTCCTACACTGAAAAAATTATATGCCCTTATTTTTAGAATATATACTAACCACTAAAATAGGCGCCAAGAGGATCTCCTGTATATCATCATTTGTATACGCAAATTCCAAATTCTTTTTCTACTTACTACTAAGTTTTTCGCTTATTCTTTTCGCAGAACATCCTCTACATCAGCTATATGCAGAGTTGTAAATTGTGTAAAATTGACAGATGCAATTATTGCGGGCAATTACGATGATTTATGATTGCGATTTTCTGCAGTGCTTGTTTTTTCTATTGTCGTTTTCTTTTTTTTTCGTACCTCTACCGTATTCGGTGTTTTGCGATAGCTCTATTAGGGTGGCGGATAATTTATAGCTAACTATTGTCGATTAACACGCGCGTAACCAGGTTCCAGGGACGATTGAAAAAAAAGGGCACGGGTTAGAATGAGAAAAAAGGGGTATTCGCGTACAAAAGGGCACGCGACACTCTTTCCTGAGGGGGTGGTGAGATAGGGAGGTGCCTGTGACATGTTACAACCCCATCTGATTCATCGGACTAACGACACGTTTATTTGACGTTTCGTTCGAAATCGCTACGGTCGCGTGCGACAAATTTTTACAGCAAGTTATCGATTTTCGGTTTATTTCATGAAAGGAAAATTGTGTGTGTTATTCTTCTTTTCGTAAATTATTCATCGAATACACAGGAAAACGTGTACCATAACAAGAAAAAAATTCTTATTTCTTTAAAAGTAAGGAAATACATTTATATGTATAGGATATTTTATTGTATTGTTATTTTTTACGTTTAAATGTTTATGTTTCAAACAAATGTTTAAAATAAGATTTTTTTAAAGTGATGATTAATATAAATTTACAAAGATATATTAAATATTTATTTGTAGGTAATATAATAAAATATTTATTTTTTATAATGTTATTAATAATGTTATTAAAAAACGATAAATTAAATATATTTAGATTATTATTATTTTAATATTTATTTTTACATATGAAAATTATATTATGTTTATATGTAGGTTTTAAAAATTTATTCATATTAAATTTAGATATTTTTAATACTTTTTATAACATTTAATAAGATAAAATAAACAATAAATATAATAGTTTATTGAAGAAAAAATATTCAATTTTTTATTAATTATTATATTCTAATTATTATATAAAGAAATCGTTGTTTCTGTAATCATCGTAGAAATTTTATTCAATTTTCAATCGAAAATCACACGTTAGGTGAGGAAGAATGAAGATTTAGATAATCTTGATGGAAAAACAAAGATAACAAACGCGATGAATGAATAAATAAATATTTTGATACATTAATCAATTTATTTTAATAATTTCACCCTTTTTGAATCTTAAGAACGAATTCTCGATGCGGCAAAAACATTGATTTCCGTTACTTTTTCCCATGCAACTGCCAACTGACTATTCGACTGCGGGGGGTGTTACCAATGGATCCCACCTGTTGACTTTCCGCAACGTGACTCTATTCCTGCTTCTTCTGCGCGAGTAGATTAACATAATGCTTTCAACCGTTTTTATTAATCGTGAAGGAATGATCGCTTGAAAATATACGGCGAATATACGAATTTGAACTTTTCTTTTTGGCAAAATTATGCGAAAAATATTTATCACGAAAGCATCAGCGTAAAGAATTAAATGTATTATTATCTCATTGCATTTTTCTCTCTATTTTTTATTCATACTTAAAATTTTCTATTTATCTTTCTGTCATTTTGTATTATTCTCTAACAATCTTGCAAAAATGACGCTGTTTAATAAATTTACATACATTTATAACAAAAGTATTATTTTGCATTTTTTAGTATCCATATAATACATTTTATAATATACTTAAAGCAACTATTTTCTTTAATTATATCTAAAGAAAATTTATATAATTTTTATTATATAAATTAGCTATATAAATATATTTACTATAGTAAATAGAAATATAGTAAATAAATAGTAATAAATATATTTTATAGTAAATATAAATATATTTACTGTAGTTATAATTATTTGAAGATTAAAAAAAAGTACTATCTCGTTCTTTATTCGGGACTATTTTTTTTAATACTGCGAATTCGAGCGAAACCATTTCGAGGGTGAACTCGATGTCAACCGCATCTTTCATTGTCTAAATTCACGGCATGCCGCTACGAATTAGTCGTGGAGAGATTAACGTACTAAAAGCTGGGGGGGCGGAGGGGAGATGGTAGCATAGTGTTGGGCGTAGTTGGTGGTACGGGGTATTGTGCCCAGTTCCCATGAAGATCCGTTGGGGGCCATCACTTGACCATATGGTGGAAACAAGTGTAGCGGCAGATTTAAATAACCGTTGGAGGTCGGATATCGTTCAAACTCGTACTGGATCGTACTAAGTACGCTTAAACTTTCACATGTGCGAAAAGAGTTTATTTGAAATATGAAAACAATTTTTTTTTAATTTTTAAATCTTCAATTACAATTTCCTTTCAATTTATCTATTATGTATCAGGATAAATCTTTCTTTTCTTTTTTTCTTATTTGTTTAATAGATTTTACAAAACAAATTAAATTTTGAAAAGAGAGAATTGATTGACAGATGCCAATCCGTACGCGTATTCGCGATATTCCTTATCTTATAGCACTGATGCTAGTTGCGTGTTCAATCGTTGATAATTGCACCCTCTCCTTCTCCTTGGATTTCTGATTTTACCTGCCGTTGTGTTCTGATATTCGGGGGGTGAAACGCCGCAGGGGGGCTGCCGAGTCACCTATGATTGGTCAGTCTTTTACGTCGCTCGTACCAATAGCGAGCGATTCCGAGCACCCCCGCTTGTGTTTTCAATCATCGGATCACAGTGTAGCGTCAACTAACAACTAACTAGAACATCATTGTGTCTATTGTCTTTGCGAACGCTTGTGTGTCGGATAATATTTGTTAAGAAGGTAAAAGTGACACAGAGTGAAAAGTAACTGGAATCGCATTCGCGACTTACATTTTTCAAGCTTACAATCGTATTACTAATGTGGGGCAGATGAATTCTCGATATATTTGAAAAAGGGATTATTAACTAGACTAGGTAAATATTTTATAAAATAACGACGTAAATAATTACACACATTCAATAAATTAGTAGTTGCATTTCTGAAATTATTGACGTATAAAATTTTTATTAATCATTTTGCCGCAACATTTATTAATTTATAAATGTTGCGGTAAAATATTTATTAATTTGCAAACAAATTTATTCGAAACTTTCCATAATCGCGTATCTCTGCGCAAATTAATTTATAATTGAGATACTACGTAATTTTAATCACCGGCGATTTTCGAGATATATTATATAATTCGCGTTAAAACCATACTTAAATTAATTTCGTATAAATAACAAAAATGTCTGCCTCAACACTGGTGCAAATTTGAATTGCGCGAATAATTTGACAACGCGACGAGAAGCGCTAATGTTGCAGTGAGATTTTAAAGTCAACGACACGTTGATCGGAAGATTATTTCCGCCATTTCTACGAAGTTAGTTAAATCATCGTCGAATCCCTGATGGTCTTCGTTTTGTAGATCGGACGATATTGCCGCTTTAATTTAATAATTCAGGAACAATCCGCGAGTGTCCACTTGTCACGCCACGCTTCTGTGGCCCTCGCGCGGTTCCGGATCACGTAATTCGCCCACACCGCGACGGGTCACGTATCATTGTTGGCAGGGGATTGTAATTTATAGAGCAGCGATCGTTCGCATTCACATTGTATGCACACACGCGTTTAATAACGCGATGAAATCGCGACTTTCGTTCGCGATCCCCCTCCTTAATGTGTGTCGGAAATATCTTGTAACCTATATATGTATATTACATCGTAATTACGTCATTTACAGCTTCGCAGCACAGCGGAACCATCGACGAGGACAAAGAGGACGAGGAGGAGAGTGAAACGAGATGCACTGTTTGCGACAAACCGTTCCAAGATATTGAACTGTAAGCACTTATATTCACGTTTTCTTTAAAGAATTAAAAAATAAAAGGAGGAAATAATTTTGTGCTTATACTTTTCCGAGACTACGACTTCGAGAATTACAAACGCATAAGAAAAATTCAAGCATCTTTCCGTTGAAAAGTTTTATATTTGATAAAAATGTATATTTTATATTTCTTTTTGTTTCACGAGCGACTAAAATAATTTGTTTTCTCGTTTAAAGTTTTGTGCGCTTTAATATTATAATAATGCTTGATCGAGGATAGCTTTTTCATAATAAAGTTGCATGCAAGACTTAAAATAAGAGTACATTGTATTGGTAAATATTGAAAATTTTTATAAAAAATGTTCTCTTACAATTAGTCTTAAGTGGTCTTTGTAGCCAAAATTTCATCTTGTCTCGATTTTATTAACCTTTTTTATCTAATACTAAACAATAATGAATAATAAATAATGCTTGGAACAATATTTAATATAATTTTTACGATATAATTATTATTATTTAGGTCATTTTTTTATTTTTTAAAACATTTCTATCATTATATGTACACAAAATTTTGTGTAGCTAAATAATTGTAAAATTTTATATTAATATTTTCTTTATTAATTTCTAAACTTGTCAATATAAATGTTTTTATTCATTAAATAAAATTTATTTGTTATATAAAATTCTTTACCATTATTTTATAAATAAAATTTTTCAAATTTGTGAATAATATAATGATATTTTTCTCATAATCTCTAAATATATATATGCTACTTTTTTTAAAATCAATAATCTTGACAAGGCCAATAATCTTACTTTGATCAAGATTTTTAATTAATTGGCAATTAATTAACAATCTTGTCTTGATCTTCTCTCGAATTTCGAGACAAAACAAGATAACATCAAGATTAATCTTGGTATCTCATACAATTCTACTTTGTAGGATTCTAATATAAAAAAAACCTCTTTTTTATTTGCGCGAGATGTCTTTTATACATATTTTCACGCATTTTTCATTATCCGGCGAATCGCTGACATGACGATACATTGTGCCATCTCATGAAGGATTCATGTCGAATCGTTATGCGCTTTTGAAATCAGATGAGCGACCATTACATGTCCGGGAATAACATGAAATCAAGACAGACAACAGCTTTCATAATCGACTGACGAGCGTTGAAGAGGACGGTCTTCATCGTCAATTATTAATTAATCGATGAAATCCAGGGGTTGAGCACCACGCGTAATCGCCTTTAAATCTCGGAGGCTATGTGCTCGCGAAAGCCTTTTGTCACGCAAGCGAGCTGTTTTCAAGAAGTGGTTCTCTCCCTCTCTGTCTCTCCGATGTTCTTCTTCAAAACTCCTTGTTCATTGTGATTGAACATGCTTACCCAGCCTTGGTTCTGTCGCGTTGCCATGTCATTGCCTGTAATTAAGGAATAATTAATGCGAAGCCAGATGGCAAGAATAAAATGGCGGCAAATTAAGTGCGATGTTGCTCTATAAATTATTCTGAAGAAGACTTCTCTCTCTCTCTTTCTATAATTTTATGATGCATAAAAAATGCAACTTTATTGTGAAAATATCACATTAAATGTAAAATTAAACATCTGCAACTGATGAGAGAGTCACTCTCTATTTCGACAAAAAAATTGATTTTTATTCACCAACCGCCCGTCAACGCAAAGTCAAATATTGATATTTATCTAACATGATCTTTGCAATATTGGAGCACCTTCTCTCAGGAGAGAGGTTTTAATTATCACAATATTAATCAATTTTTCTCATAAAGTATATTATATTTAAAAACTAATAATATCTTCTTCTCTTGATAAATCGTGTTACCTTCTTGTTTAACCCTTTCTCTTATTAATTTTCAACTTCTCCTTTTCAACCAATCATATTCGACTTCATCTAGCGCAAATACAGTTACAGTGCAATGTTTAATACTTTTTTTCAATAAATAAAATTAATCGAAGAGTATCCGATTGACCACGTCGCCAATTCGAAATAGGACTCTCTGATCGATTAATCGTTGCTGGTTACCCTAGGCACAGGTCAAACGGGATACTCACAAAGTAATCTTGTAATAATTATCAAATATCTATGAAAAATATTCAAGTTACGAAAATTGACCCGGTTGAGCTTTACGTTGTCTACGTTTCTAATATCCCGTTCGTTTCCTCACCTTGGGCTAAGCATCCAACTTCTCGACGCGGCAGATTCACCTGTTGTGGGGGGCGTTAAACTCTAACGCCGAGATCGGGAACGAGCCAAGGGCCACCCCCCTTATACATCATCGAAGGCGTCGCGTGCCTGCAGCTCATCTGGCACGCCACACCGTCACCATGAAGGCACTATCTCACCGCGAATAGGTTTTCACACGACGCGTGTGTCCGGGGGTGTAAAATCAATGTTGCCGCACACCACGGCGCCGTCCCGTATGACGATAACCCATGCCTACCCCGTGACAACCACTCTGAAGCTTCCCCTCTTCCTCCCTGCCCCTTAACGATGGCTTTTCTTCGTGACGGCGTGTGTTCGTGCGCGACGGCTGCCCTCTTCTTCAGGGGCGTGCGAACGTTATTACATGAGAATCGAGACCCGCTACTCGCCGCAGAGTCACTTAGTCATCATCCAGGACTTGCCCCTGGCGCAGTCGGCGCAAGTCGGTTACCGTAAAGCATCCTGCTTGCTCTCTTGTTGGTGTTCCGATTAAAGTTCTAGCGAGATATAAAATAAATGCTTGAGAGCTGTCATCATTCATCTTCCGTATATTTATTTAAAATATTTTTAAAGAAATAAAACAGATGCTATGATAAAATTCTCTGCTTTTATTTTAGAAATATACATTGTATTCAGTAACATGTTTTTTCAGATATACATTCGTAAATCATTTTTAATCTGTAATTAATTTTATTACTTCTATGCCGTGTTTAACGGGTTGTTTGAATAATTTACTTTCAGATTGGACAGCCACTTGGTGACCTGTCACAGATATCCAGCGGAGCAACACCGTTGCGACAGCTGCCCTCGTGCTTATGCTTGGCGGCCGCTTCTGGTACGGCATCGCGCAATCGTTCACGGCGATCTCAGAAATTATCCTTGCGAGAATTGCCCGAAGGTAAGTCTTAAATTTGCGCTACGCTCGTCAAAACCAGATCCTCCCGATCTAGAAACATCTTCAAAATATCGCTAAAAGTCGAATATCCGGCAGGTCTTCACGGACCCGTCGAACCTACAGCGCCATATCAGAACTCATCACGTGGGTGCCAGGAGCCACGCTTGCACAGAGTGCGGCAAGACCTTCGCGACCAGTTCCGGTCTGAAGCAACATACTCACATCCACAGCAGCGTAAAGCCCTTTCAGTGCGAGGTCTGCTTCAAGGCGTACACACAGTTCTCGAATTTATGCCGGCACAAGCGCATGCACGCCGACTGTCGCATGCAGATCAAATGCGTTAAATGCGGACAGTCCTTCAGCACAGTAACATCGTTATCGAAGCATAAGCGATTTTGCGACTCCACCGCTCCGACCGGCCCACCAGGAACTATGCCGCAGTTACCAACGCCAACGACGAATCCCTTCCTGGTGTATCCACGACCTCCCGTGAGTCTGCCAGGTGGTTTGCCCTTTTATCCACCTAGTCTGATGGGTCCTTATCCGGGAATCTTTCCAAACGCACCGAATTTCCTGAATACGCCTCTTCTCTTCCCGCCAAAAATCGAGGAAGCTGAGAAAAGAAGCGATAGCCCTTTTCCCAAGAAAGAACGGTTCACTCCCCCAAGAGTGCTGTCACAACACAATAAAGTATCTCCTTCTACGGCGGAAGAGGCCACCTCTACCTTCAGGCCGTCTCCAGCTAGACCTCCGATTCTGCAGACTCCGGAAAGCGACGACGACCTGTCCAAGAAGAGAGAAGCAGCTAGAAACAACGAGCGAAAAATAAAAACCGAGAGTGCGTCGAACGTCTTGAAGGAAGAAACGACAGAACAGCCGTTGGATTTAAGGGTGCAGACCAAGAAGCAAGACATCACTTTGAAAGTCAACAGAAAGAGTCGCACCCCATCGCCGGCGCCGGTGCCGAAAGAGGAGGCACCAGCATCTCCTGATCCTCCGAAACCGGAAGAGGACGCAGCCATTCCGCAACCAATGGAAGTCGATCCCAAGGAAATTCCCAACAGTCCCCAACAATTGAGGACCAGTCTGCCGACCGAACAACCGCCGACCAATACACCGCCGCATATGGCTTATCCTAGACCGATACATCCAATGTTTCTCGAGACGATGTATCGCGGCCCAGGGACCTTTCCGGGATTTCCCGGCGCACCACCCCCCGGAACAGCCGCTCCGGAATCTAGACTGATACCTCCGCTTCCGCCCTTTGGTCCACCGCGGCTTCCTTTTTTAGGCTCGCTTATGAACGGGCTCAGCGGCGCTAGGCCAGGAAGTGGCTTCGATTTGCTCGCCCGGCCGCCGCTGAGCGCGTTCCCCGGCGTGAAACCATTTCAGGAGGCTGTGATGGCACCTCATCACCACCACCATCATCATCATCATCACGTCCACGGCAAGATGAAGGACCGGTACTCCTGTAAGTTCTGCGGCAAGGTGTTTCCCCGCTCAGCCAATCTCACAAGGCACCTGAGGACGCACACCGGGGAGCAGCCGTACAAATGCAAGTATTGCGAGCGATCCTTCAGCATCTCGAGTAACCTGCAACGGCACGTCCGGAACATTCATGACAAGCAACGACCATTCAAGTGTCCGCTCTGCGAGAGATGCTTCGGCCAGCAGACCAATCTGGACCGGCATCTTAAGAAGCACGAGGCCGACGATGGTAGCGGCGTGGTTTCGGTCGCCGACTCGCCCGGCAGCAGCAACGAGAATGAGCGGGAGGACACGTACTTCGACGAGATTAGATCCTTCATGGGCAAGGTCACTTACGGAGGCGAGGGTGGCTATGGCTTGCCCCATCACCCGGCCTACATTCCCAATAGACTACGGGAGATAAACGAGAGTAAGATGGTCGAGTACGACGAAGATGAAGATAGCGAGGAGGGTGCATCTCCGTTAGAAGAGACGGATGGACTATCGCCGATCGAAGCCAAGGAATCGCCGTCGCCCTCGCAATACGACTTGAAACTTAGAGAGAAGCAGGAACTGCTCAATAATAATACCGCGGAGCCGGTGATCGAGATCTCGACATAGCCCAGAGGTCGAACCGGATGATTTGCGCTTCGAAGGACGGGGAGAGCTCGTTTTCCCTTAACGTACGCAACTGTTTGCGAGTAACCGTTTCATCTTAAGACTTCCGATCTTGATAGTGTTATTTCGAGAGATAACACCCCAACGCGCAGGATTACCCTAGCTTAGAATGGTCCGCCGTACTTTAATCTTACAAAATATTGATAACTTGCACTTTTATGAGACAAACGTATTTTCAAGTTATATAATCGGGTTATTCTTCGTGATACTATTGTAAATATCCATGAAAGACAGCCGACAGTGATAATTACGCGTCAGTATACTCATTTCGGAAAAATCTCCAGAGAATATAATCACAAGAAGAATTAAAACCACTCCAGTTGTACTTGTAAAACATGTGCTCTACAAAAAAAAAAAATGCAAAGAACTCGGCGAAAGAAATCCCCCGAAGATATTGTTATGCGATTCTTTTATACACTCCGCATTTGTTTGCACTAGGCATTATAAAGAACGACAAATGGACCAGTTAGCGCCCTTTCACACGCACACACACACGCATATCAAAAACTCTTCTATCACCTAGTTTTACAGACTCGTTATATGAATGTAATACGCGCACGTAATTAAATATTACTCCCCTCCTCTTCCTCATCTTCGTCTTCGATTGAAAGAAGCGTGCGGTATAATAAGATTATTTATTGCTATTATTAACAAAGTTAATTTATCGTTATTATTACAACGTCGCTCGGCAAAAGGGATCGTACGTCATAAGCATCGAATGATCGAAGCGACCCTATAAAAGTTTCGCAGATTGTTAAATTTGCTTGCAATGTATCCATCGTCGATTGATAATTCAATCACTGATGTTTGTAGATCCTAGATATATCTACGTGTGCGCTATTATCAACTGATTTATTTTTAACAGTGTATTATAGTCGCGTTACGTTTAAAACGCGCGGGGGCTCTTCGTGATTGAAGGAGTCGCGGAAGTTGAACTGTTGTAAAAATTTTATTATAAGACGATCGCGCTTGTAATCGCTTCAATCGGTTCGAATCTTGAGGATTTTCGAGAATTTTATTCAAACATAGTTGAAATAAGATGATCGCAAAAGTGACAGAGACAAGTTCCATTCGATGCGAGATCTGTCGGATGGAAGGATCTAGGATCTGCGAAGTGAGAGAAGAGTCTAACACTTTCGCATCGCGGGAGTGTTCGTGTATATTAAAATTCATGTACGTTAGTTCGCGAGGTCACAAGGCGAGGAAGACGAAAAATTGATGCGACGAAAACGTGTGTATAATTAAATAATTAGAAGACAACAAGAAAATCTTATCGCGAAGTGAACTGTACAAATTTCTATTACGTGATATATATATATATATATATAACATTTGTAAAGAGACGAGGGAAAAGATTCTTCTGCGATTTTTATTAATATATAAATATAAATATAAATATGATTCTCTCTAGAGAGGTCTCTTTTTTTTCTAGTACGATTGGAAGAACGAAGAACGAAGAATCCACATATCGTTCCTCGCGTTTCACTCACCTCAGTAAGCATATTTAAGAAACGCGTATCTTTACCGATTAATAACGTGTGTCACCGCGATTGCGAGAAAGTTGACGTTGAGATATTAAAGGATAGACACATACACAGCGTATTACATGTGTACTAAGTACGCTCGCGATTAATAAAAAATAATAATAATACAAAGGATATATCGTTGCTTTATCAAGCACCGAGTTGGGGCTTTACTTGTTTTTTTTTCACGTAAAGATTTTATGAATACACATTCTACATATCTCTGTCTCTCTCTCTTTTCCTCTCTCTATTTCTATCTCTCTCTCTTTCATTATAGAGAATAATAAACTTATGAAGTGATTAGAGCGTAAATATATTAAACGAATTACTTAAGAAAAACTATATTATACGGCGCTGTCTATCTATACATATTGTATAAAAAACATTCTGTAACTCTTCTCATTATGATTACTATTAAAAATATTACACTTCAAGTTGTAAATTTTATCCAGGCGATGATTTCACCTATCGATATTTTCTCCCTTATTTTATATTCCTATTTAATCAATTAAATAGGAACGATTATAATTTTGCACGTGTTGCCTAGACTTTACAGAGATAATATGAATAAATAAAATAAATAAAATAACAATAATATTATTTTTCTTACAAAGAGTTAAATAATAGAATCAAATAAATTATAAACTTTATTCTTTGGAAGAAATATGCTTTGCATAAAAATCTCAAGCTATTTTTCAACAAATAGGAAAGAAATTAAGTAATAGCTGATATATTTAATCTTATTTTTAACAAATGCCAAATGTGTATTTTTATTAATTATAAAACTATATACACACTTATAATAAAGTACCTTTCTAGTAATCGTTTTACTGGCTTGTGTTGCGCTCTGGCGGTGCATACATTTAATAAACAATTTTATATGAAATAAATAAAACTCACTCAAAGTCTAAGAAGAAATTAATGCAACAATGCAATTTATGCGAGCGATTTTTATCAATTTTTATTTAAATAATTTCAGAATTTCATTGCAAAGTAAAGATACTTCTTTTATCGACAATAAATATGATTCCTGCTCCAAAGGCAAGAGATGTGTGGTTCTTCAATATTTGATTCACTCTCAAGACACTAGATCACGCTTTATTTTACAATTCGCAATCAATAACACAACAATTCATTTTACAATAAAAAATACAATTTCTGACATTATAATAAATACAAACGATCATGAATTATTTTCTTCTTATTGTTATACACAGTATAACAAACAAACTTCTATTTTAATACATAATAATTGTTCTTATAAATCTCTATAATTAAGTTATTCTTAATTATTAATTTATTCTAATTTATTAAGTTATTCTTGATTATTAATTTATTAATAATCAATTTCTTATTATTAATTTTATATTACTAATTTGTTTTGACATTGGCAACAATTAATCTAGAAACGTGCAAACAGATGCTGCTGTGAAATGAAGGTAATCTTGAGTGTGACTGGATGAGTTAATTGATGGGCGATCTGGCGTTGATTTAATGAAGGTTGAACTTTGCCTGTGTATATACGTGTGATATACGTTTGCTTGAATCGATCTTCGACGCCCACTCGAACTTCGGATGTATTGTATTATTATCGACGATAATAATACTCCATTCGATTCCATTCAAGTCTATCTGACTGAATGTTCACACGTGCGCCACTTGGACCCTTATTATTGAATCATCGAAGGAAACGAGTAAATACGTCGATTAATTCGACGCTGTAATAGTTATTACTCTAATAGCATCACTTTACACTCATCGAGTTTTTTTTATAGATATAAATTTATTATTTACATTTCTTATAGATATAAATTTATTTATTTATTTATTTATTTTTGGATCATGATGCGCGATAAATTATCGACATCAACATGTGTAATTTATTGCCATGCTTTTTTTTCGCACTCTTATGCCATTTATGTTTGTTGAACTTAAACGCGCACAAGGTGATAATATCGTTACGTAAAAAGAAATATCATGGAAGAAAATCGAGTAACATGTTTCGATAAAACAAAAAATTAAATTAATATTACCGATGTGCTTAGCACTCTATTTATAAGAAACATACTTGAACTATTCAGATATCAATTACCCTGAATCTAAATCTAAATATTACTGAACATGATACATGTATCTTCTTGCGTTTTTTTTCCTTTATATAACATTGTGATGCATGTAAACAACTTTCTGCTCGCAAAGTAAAAGTGAATGCAGTTACACGGAAAGTAAGCCGACGACCTTTGTTAGACAATTTCAATTTCGAAATTCCATCGTGATTCGTTACAAACATCTCTTGAGCCCGTTAATTTACGTCGATGAGCAAGAAATGCATCCGCTCGTCGCGTCGAGCTTGCGGTCTGATTCGATCGTAAAAAAGAGCGTGTCTTAATCAACGGAGAAAAACTGATATTTGCGTCATATAATCTGAGATCGAGACTTCTTCGTCGCGCTAATGAAGGGTGCGAATGGGATAATCAAAGAAGAGATGTAGGTAAAGAGAGGAGAAAGTAGAAGTCAGATTTCGTCAGCATGCAAAAAATATCCGTCAATTTATATAAGTAGATGTAAATTACAAAGTATAAACATAATAAAAATTAAATTAGATGGAAACGCGATTTCCATTACAGGAAAAAACGTTTGATACTGATTTAAAAAAAAAAAACCAAACCGAAAGTAAAAGGATTTTTTTTTATTCAATCAGCCAATATCTTTAAGAATGCATTAATTTACTATCTTAATTAAATTTAAATAAATTTGTATAATTAATGATTATCACATACATATATTTCGTCTCTTTTCATCTTCTTTTTTCTTTCTTTTTTTATTTTATTTTTGTTATATATATTGTTATTTCATTTTTGTTACATATATTGTTACATATTTTTTATATATTGTTATATATTGTTATATATATTATATATTTTGTTATATATATTATTATTATTATTATTGTTTATTCTTCTTTTTTGTATTTTTGAAATTTCTTTTTAGTGTTATTATTATCGTATATTCAAGAGAAAAATTTCTACGAACAAATTTATCTTATTTTAAATTCCAGTAGCTCGATCGACATGTAAATGCGTGCAAATTAAAATGCGAATAAGAAAAATGAAATATGACTAGAAGCGAGACAAGAAGAGATTTCTTTTGTCGCAAAAGGTAGTCAGGAATATCGGCGATCGCTTTGTATCGCGAAAGAGCGATCCAAGACAAGCAAGAGACAACCTACAATGGCACCGATGAGGCAATAATTGTACGCGCCAACGAGCATTATTGCCAGCATGACGTTGACAAAAACAACCGAGCTAATCACGAAATTCCGCGCGCTTGTTCCAAAGCGAATGTTTAGAAAGTGGAAAAAAATCGCGCCGGCCGATCGATCGATCTAGTGATTAGCGGTACAAATCGATAGTAGATCGCCCGCGAATCGCTAATAATACCGCTATTTATTATCCTATCATCGTATCTTGACAAAGGTTTTAATTAATCTCGCGAAATTTCTCACCGCGATTTTTTCAATTTACCTAGGAATGCGAGAAAGAGAAGAAAGATGGCTGTAAAATTTCGCGCCTCTACAACAGAACATAATTTTATCGCTCTCAAAACCGCAAATCATCGTGTTTAGGGAGTTTCAATAAAGCAGGAAAATGGACAGAATTAACTAGAATTGTGCAAGATATCAAGACTAACCTTGATATTGAAAATTTGAGACAAGATTAAGGCAACATTTTTAATTAGTTATCACACAAACAATATCAATAATAAAAAGAGAGTAAAATTATCAAAATTATTAGCCTTGTCAAAATTTAAATGTTAAAATATTATTTATAAATTAGATAAGAAAAATATCATTATATTATACATAAATTTAAAAAATTTTATTTAATAAGTAAAAAACATTTATATTAACAAATTTAAAAACATTTAGTGCAATAAACAAAATAAACAATATAAAAATTTTACATAATTATTTAGCTACACTAAACTTTTTATGTCATTCATTTATTTATTGAAATACAACATATTTTGTATTTTCATAAATAAACGAATGATATAAATAATTATAATAATAATTATCATAAATAATGTTATGTTAAATATATATTATTTTAAATAATTGTTTAGCATTAAACAAGAATTAAATTATTAAATTGGAACAAGACAATATAAAACGAAATTTTTGCTACAAAATTAATTCGAGACAAGATGTTTTGAAAATTTTTAATATTAATGCAATAGTTTTACGAATAGGTATTTTGTCTTGTTTTAAGTCTCGTGCGACTTTAAAAATGCACGGTTTACTTTGAGGATGCAGAAAAATTTTGAGAATAATAATTGAAACGCAGATCTATGGTCACACTGCAGAGCTCTCTTCTTTTAGGACACCGAACAGCAGGCGAGTCTCGAGAGTTTTCCTTATTTCTCACATCTCGGCACGTCGCGCGTCTCCTTTCATTTTAACGCATGATCGCGTACGCGATCTGACCGGCGCAACACACCCATCGATCTCTAATCTGTACGCAATAACGGCCGATCGAGCTCGTAGATCGTGAAATGGAAAAGGAATAATTCGCTTGAGTGATGCACGACGCTATCGTGGTCATGATGGTCATGATAAATTATACGTATATGCGCTCTCTCGCACACGAAATAATTTTCCTAAGTAATAGCATGAATTTTTTTAAGGTCGATCCGTCGAAAAAAATTCTCGAAAATGTCAGCGTATCATTAGCGATTATTATAATCGACTTGCATAATCGTATGCGACTTCACCGAGTTTTTCGAGAACTAGCAAGTCAACGTTTTTGAGTCCTTGCGCGATATTTTATTAATTATCCTTGAGATGATTCGTGTAATTATCGTTTTACATGCATCGTATCATTGCTACAAAAAATTGTTTGCGATCACCATCTTCTTTTAGTAGTTATATAATTAACATCTTCTTTTAGTAGTTATATAATTAACTCGATCGCCGCCACCTACGATGATTGTCCTCCAGATGTAAGACAAGTTTTTCCGCATGTCTTCTCGCGGAATTATAAATTATGCTAATAATAATTCGTAAAAAAAGACGGATTGGTTTATGCAGCACTCATGAAGAATAATCAATCGTTGAGTGATCCGCATGTACATCTAAACTTATGTAGGAAGGACGTACGTATCCAAAGATAAACTTAAGAAAATTCTGTCTCTCTCTCTCTCTCTCTTTTCTAAGATACCTAAGCAAATCAGTTTACATTACTTTCACTGTTCGAGATCGAACTCGCTGAGGCAGCCTCTCGTTCTTACCATGCATTTTCCTTTCTACCACCCGATTTTCTTTCGCGGAATAAAAGAGAAGGAGAAGAATCTTTCGATTAATTTGATTAGCGATGCCTCGCCTCTGATCGGTAAAAAGAATCGGGATGCACGAT